TAAACATGTTGGGATCATAGTATTGTTTTGTTTGCATTTGCACTTTTATAGTTGATTTGTAGTTCATATTCTAACATTTACAACCCCATTCTATGTTTTCTTCCCTTATTTTTACCCAGGAACTTGGTTTCGATTATTTGCGCGATAATCTTTCTGCAAGCAGGGACCAGCTTGTGATGAGATGGTAAACTATCAGTTTTTCTACCTCCATGGTTGGGTCTGGTAATCTCATTATTACTATGGTTAATTATTGTATTGTGACAGGCCAAAACCCTTCCATTTTGCAATACTTGATGAAGTTGATTCTGTACTCATTGATGAAGGCCGAAATCCTTTGCTGATAAGTGGTGAGGTAATATTGATATTTATGAGCACTTTACACAAAAACGTCTATTTGCAATCACAACTCTGAATACAATCATTACTCCCCAAAAACTGGAAAAAAAAGGAAAAATAAATAATTTGGTCTGGTAGGAGGTAGTTTTCTGGAGCATTTTCTTTACCTCCTATTAATTTAATATGTTCTGAATATTATTAATTCATGCTTCCCTTTCCTTCTTATCTTTATTTTTTTCAGGCAAGTAAAGAGGCTGCACGATATCCAGTTGCCGCTAGAGTAGCCGAGTTGCTGACACGAGTCCTAGTGAGTCGTTTTTTTCCTTTTCCATCCGTTATCGTCAAAGAATCTTTCACATTTTTCACAAAATTATAAGATCAAATCTATATGTTTTTAACATTTTCATGTAATATTTTAGCATTACAAAGTTGAGCTTAAGGATAATTCAGTGGAACTTACTGAGGAAGGAATAGTACTGGCTGAGATGGCTTTAGAAACAAATGACTTATGGGATGAGAATGATCCTTGGGCTTGGTGAACATTTTTCTCACTCTTTGGTTATATTTTATATATGACCTCGTTAAATAGTTTCTTTTGATTCTTCATGCACAGATTAAACAAAACCGTAGGCCAATTTTTTGCAGCTTCAGTGTGCAATCCTAACCTAATTCTCTAAAACTTCTAATTTCTAAAATGTCGTTTTAATGCTGCAGGTTTGTTTTGAATGCCTTAAAAGCGAAAGAGTTCTACCGGCGAGATGTACAATATATGGTTCGAAATGGAAAAGCTCTTATAATCAATGAGGTATGTGGCCACTGTTGAAGTATCCCCAGTTAGTTGCTCTGGCTGCTTCATTTTTGTTATAAATTGCTATGTTTGCTTTGTTCTCTTGCAGTACCCGCTTAAGATATAAATGTTGTTCCCACAGTAGTTTCCGTAATATTTTGCCTTGACTATTTGGTTTCCTTGATGAGAAGTACATTGTTATTTTTTCCTTCACAGTTGACTGGTAGAGTAGAAGAAAAAAGGCGATGGTCTGAGGGTATCCATCAGGCTGTGGAGGCCAAAGAAGGGCTGAAGATCCAGGTATCACAGTTGTCTATACCTGATTTTGCTTTACACTGTTTAATTTCTTGGTAAACTCACGGTTCCTGAATTTGTCAGGCTGATTCTGTTGTTGTGGCCCAAATTACTTACCAATCACTATTCAAACTATATCCCAAGCTTTCAGGGATGACTGGGACTGCTAAAACTGAGGTGCATTCATCTGCACAAATTAAACTGAAACCTACGATGATGCTTGAAGAATACCTACTGTCAATGTAAAAACTTTCTTTTCGTTACGTAGGAAAAAGAATTCTTGAAGATGTTTCAAATGCCAGTAATTGAAGTGCCCACAAATATGTCAAACATTCGCCAAGACTTACCTATTCAGGCATTTGCAGTAAGACAATGAATTCTTTAAACTTTTTCTCATTGTTCTGGAAGCTATCTTTGACTTTTTGATGTTTTGAATGGTTTTTATCTCAGACTGCTAGAGGGAAATGGGAATATGTCCGTGCAGAAATTGAGTATATGTTTAAGCTCGGCCGGCCGGTATTGGTTGGGACTACGAGGTATTTTTCACTCATTTTCTTCGAGTTTGGTACTTATGGGTTGACTTTTTATTGGCATAAAAAGATCTTTATTCTTTCTATGTGATATGCAGCAGATCTCATTTTGGTTCTTTTATTGTTTGATGCAGTGTTGAGAATTCTGAATATCTGTCTGATTTGCTGAGGGAAACAAATATCCCCCACAATGTCCTTAATGCACGCCCCAAGGTTTATATACTTGATTTATATTGAGCTGCCTTATCATCTTTGGATTCCTTTTATCTATATACTTTTATTTTTCTATCCTTAATAACTTCTAACAATTTGCCTTTTGCAGTATGCTGCTAGAGAAACAGAGATTGTAGCGCAGGCGGGTCGAAAAAATGCGATTACTTTATCAACAAATATGGCTGACAGGGGCACTGACAGTATCTTAGGAGGAAATCCAAAGGTTGGTATCAGTTTAGGTGTTCTTATCGAGGGTAGTAATTAAGTAGTACCATAATTGTGGGAGGAACTGTTGTGCCTTACATTTGCAATTCTCTCTTGGTCAGATGCTAGCTAAAGAAATTTTGGAGGACAGTTTGCTTTCATTTCTTACGCAAAATGTTCCTGATGTTGATATTGATTCAGGGACTTCCAAAAAGGTGATAACTGATTTTGACAGTGAAGAAACAAGTAAAAAAGAGCAATTTCAGTTTAACCCTTAAAGTGTCCTTTCGATGCAGGTCTTATCCAAGGTAAATGTTGGGCCATCATCATTGGGCTTGCTAGCTAAGACTGCTATTCTGTGTTAGTTTCATACTTAACTACTAAATCTCAACTTCGACTATCTGCTTTTTCTCCAAATTTCATCGATATTTTTGTCTAACTTTTTCTGTTAATAATACAGCTAAATATGTAAGTAAAAATGAGAGTAAGAGCTGGACTTATGACGAGGCAAGAAATATGATTTCAGAGTCTATCGAAATGAGCCAGTCAGTGGAATCGACAGAGTTGCAGAAGCTTATTGATGAGCAGACTGAGATGTACCCTCTTGGCCCATCTATAGCTCTTGCTTATTTGTCAGTTCTTAAGGATTGTGAATCTCACTGTTCTAATGAAGGGTTAGAGGTGAAAAGTCTTGGAGGTCTTCATGTGATTGGAACTTCTTTACATGAGTCTAGGAGGATTGACAATCAGGTGAGTTCTTCCATTTGGTTGAGTTATATCAGGAATATACGTTTTACCTAATTTTGAAGACACGTGATATTTCTCAATTTATGAATATTCATCATGATTCATATGTAAGGAGAGATCAGGGGAAATCACGAAATGTTTTATATCTGCAGACAAAGTTTCTTTCTTATTTGGTTTTTAAGTTGAATTATGGCGATAAGATTTCTTGTTGCTCTATTTCTATGTTTAATAATATGTATCAGTATAAGCGTCCCTTTCTTTAATTTGGACTTATTAGAATAAGATGTGATAGAGAAGTTGTTATTTCATGGTTATTTTACATATTCTTAGTAATATTTTTCTTCTCCATTCTCTGTCCGTCTGTCTTCGTTTCCGTGTCATGTTGTATTTATTATATTGTTGTTCTGCTGTCTTTCATGGACTCCTAATATAATTCGCTTGAACAGCTCCGAGGCAGGGCAGGAAGGCAAGGGGATCCTGGATCAACACGGTTTATGGTGAGGTATTATCAAATTCTGTCACTTGCTTGATAGTATTCGAGACATATATAACATTGAAACCAGTTGCATAAAATGACCTTGCCTTGACAGCTTGCAGGATGAGATGTTTCAGAAGTTCAATTTTGATACTGAGTGGGCAATAAAACTTATATCTAGAATTACAAATGACGAGGATATCCCAATAGAGGGTAATGCAATCGTGAAACAGGTATTGTAGTGATGTTGTATATGCTTTGTTGTTGTGCCCCACCGCATCCCATCTTCTTTTTGCATTGATGTAATTCTTGAGGGCTCAAATAGCTAATCCTTCTGATGGGCTTTCAGCTTATGTCCCTGCAAATTAATGCGGAAAAATACTTCTTTGGCATAAGAAAAAGTCTCGTTGAGTTCGATGAAGTATTCGAGGTATCATCATCTAACCTTTTTCTTATC